TAGTAATAATAATAATAATAATAAGAGAAGTACAAGAAGTAGCAGTAGTAGTCGTTGTAGTTGTAGTTCTTGTTGTTGTCGTTGTTGTTGTTGTCGCTGTTGTTGTAGCGGTAGTAGTAGTAGTAGTAGTAGTAGTAGTAGTAGTAGTAGCAGTAGTAGTAGTAGTAGTAGTAGGCGCCGTCGCAGTAGTAGAAATAGAAGCATTGGCAATAGCAGTAGCAGTAGCAGTAGCAGTAGCAGTAGCAGTAGTAGTAGTAGTAGTAGTAGTAGTAGTAGTAGTAGCAGTAGTAGTCTCAGTAGCAGCAGCAGGAGTAGTAGTAGTAGTAGTAGTAGTAGTAGTAGTAGTAGTAGTATCAGTAGTTGACATTGAAATTGTATGAGTAGTAGCCCTATTGAAGTCCGCTCGCCCGACAGGACGGTTGTGAGGGATCAGATATGCTAGCATATACACGCTTGCGTATTCATTCTTCACGGTATGGAACTTCACAACAGTTCTTTCCACTTGTAATAACTGAATAACTCTAATGAGTATTGTTACAGATGATAATTACAGATATCAGTTATCAAACACTTCGTGCACATATTATTCGATGCACTGTTTTCGCGAGGTGTTGAAATATTTCGAAGCATTGTGTCACTGTTCGCTTCATCGTAAGAGCTTAGCAATACTAGTGAGAATGATCGTGGTATGATTACTGCTTCTTTTGCTCAAATGGACATGTTCATATCACATGTGTCTTAGAGTGCTGTTAAACTGTTAGTTGTTCATCAACCACTCCTGTTCTCGCTACACCCAGCTCGCTATCACAGCATGACCTTGGAATTACTGTAGCTGTTTGTGCATTACGATGAGCATGTGAGTATTTCGCCGATGCCGTGGTTGTGTTGTAGCAACTTGTAACACTTTTTGTGTGTTGCATGGTGTTTTGTCGGTGCTGTTGCCTTGTGTGGCTTAGCTGGTATATGGTCTTCTAGGCTGGTTTGTGTTTCATGTTGTTGATCACATATTAGGCTTTGCAAAGTGCTTTCCTTTGCCGGTCAGAGTTGGTGGGACTCAGTCCCTGCTGGTGGGCCACGGCCACAAACTTTCTAGTCTCTTGCTGTTGGCTTGGTGGAGCAGGATGGCGGCACCATGATCGCGGCCGTTTACGAGGACTCGGTGCAGGGACTTGGGCCACAGATTCAGTCTTCTGATGGAACCACACTCGACAGGAAATTGAGCGCCCGGACCATGGTAGTTCAAAGGCGGCGAAGCTCCGCCAGCAAGACGAGAGGCGCGGTTGAAAGTCAACCTGTGCCTGGCGCCTCAGTGACTCGAGTTTTTCTCGTCTCACTTGTTTCACTGTCTCGGCAACAATCCGTTGCTGATAGGGTGCCTGGCCAGCACTTCAGATTGGCCAGGACGTCGGAGATCCTGCACCCAGGGAATAATGTTGGAGTCGGCAGGCAGGAGCTTTCGCTGTCTCTGTTCTGATGTCACTGCGAGAATGGTCAGCCTCTTTCGAAACACGGACGACCCTTCGATCGTAGCACTGTATGAGACATCGTGCATGGTCTGTACTGAGCCAGCGAGGTCCGGGGTGCCGACATGGATAATCTGGCATCAACAAGCTTGTAACTTAGGTTTGCAAGATGTAACATATACCGGAGATCACTATGTGATGCCACGCCAACCGCATTGTGGATGTGCACGAGTCGGCTCATGAATATGCAGAAGCAACATGCTTACACGCAGCTACGAGTTTCTGTCTCAGTCTTGCTCTTCTCCGGTAGGCAAGCGAATGACAGCATGCACAGCTTACGAAGCTGAACCAAGTTTGTGAAGTCGTTCTTGTTTGCGCCATTGCACTGCCGGAAATGGGAGGACTAGGCCTCTTGTCTTTGCCACACAAGTGCTTTGCAAACTGTTCAAAAACTGCGGCTGGAATGCATGTAGAAAGCGTTTCATTATCGACGGCAGCCTATACGCTGTCAAGTCTTCAGCTGCGACATGGACAGTCGATCCCGCACACAACAACTTCCTTGGGGTCTTATGCCCACACAGCAACGGTAGTCTTTTCGCTTTCGGAGTCAATCTTTGTGGTGTCTGTTTTGTTGGGCAGTCATTGAACTGTATTGCTAGGCTTCGCTATGTCTGCGTAAGTAAGATGCTTCTCCCGTCGTTTGCTATCCAGGTTTCGGAATACCAGAAGCACGTTGAAGCTCTATCAGCTGCATCCTGCTGCATCTGGCGGATTGAACGCATTTTCGCAGTCACCAAGGGGACTTGGCAGAGCTGGAGGCGGAGCTCATCAAGAGAAATCGCGAAATCGCCAAGGCATGAGACGTTTGATGCAAAGCGGTCTACTGTCAGCGTTGACGGAGAGAGTGGATTCTTCGCTCATGCTCAGTTCGGACTGAAGCTGCTGGGCATCAGAATGGCATCCCAATCACATCTCCGCCTAAGTTCTGAGCTCTGCAATTATGTCCAACGCTGCATCATCTCGAAAACTAGACGGTCATGCATCGAGCACACAACACAGTCTCGGTTTCAACTATCTCGCAGTGTTTCTTGGACGTCACATACGCCTAGTGTCACTCGCTAGGGCAGGCAATACGCAGCTGTTGTCTCGAAAAGGAATCCGCGTCCTCCACACCGACCCAGAAACCAAGTCCCATACTTGATTGTACTTGTGCAGCCCCACATCAACGGGGATGAGTACAACCTATGTATCATGTTCGGGGGCTTTGCACGTGAGATCCGCCGTCCTGGTCAGGTGCGGGATGATGTGCTGAAGCTCGAAAGGTGCCGGGCCGGGATTTCGGGGACTCTGCGTCTCGCGAAGGCTCAGAGTACGACTCCGTCCAATCCCTCCAGCGTCGTATGCTAGCTAAGCCACACACACCCGAGACCAGGAAGCTCCTTTCCAGAGCCCCGACCCCTTAAAATTGAAAGGTTTGTCTACTGTAGCACTTACTGCCTTCAAACTCCGCTCTACAAGCCTGAAAATTGATTCCCTTAGGCCTTTGTGAACACGCCAGGCGTCTGGACGAGTCGCGCAAGCGCAATGACGATCTCCTGGAACGGGTGGCTATTCTTGACTCCGAGGCTGGCAATGCTTTGGGCCGAGGGTTCGAGCAGGCTCCAAGGAAACGAGGTTCTTCGATACCGGTTTATTTGGGATTGATGCCTTGAGAGTGCCAGGTCTCAGGTTTTAGAGCGTGGCCGGTTTGCCAATCCACTGGTTTTGTGTTGACTTTGCGTAGTGTGGTGTAGTTAGTGTGGCTACACAGGGAGTACGCATCATGGGTACTTACCACCCACACGTCTTCGAGGAGTCAAGGGTGGAAAGCGCGCAATATGTGTGATGTTTACAGTTCTTTGTAATCACGTCTTCTGTCAGTTGTGCATTCAACGGCTCTGAACGGAAAAGCTAACTTTCCGACTCTCGGAGGTCAGACTTTTTCTCGTCTCGTCGTGGGGAGAATGTGTGGTTTCCTAAACGCGAATTCCCGACGCTCCACTTCTGATCGCTAAGTTCGGAATCAGTGATGACGTTGCGCCCATCTCGATCCGCCAAAGCCTCTGGGGTACTCGCCGCGCATTCGCAAAACTGCAGAAGGAAGAACAGCCCCGATTCACAAGACCAAACCAACTGTTCAGGGCAGTAGTGGCATCATTTTCCAAAGTCAGAAAGAGAGCGCCGGCCCTTCGCAAATGTGTTATTGAACAGAAACCACAGATTGACAATCGCTGAACAACAGCCAGCAGCCGCAAAGTAACCGCGAAGACAATCAATATTATGTTTCAAGATAGTGGTAATACAATTACTTCGTACCGAGTGACACTGAGAACGACATGGCTACTGATCAGTACTCGTAGGACAATTACTACTAGTAGTGACAGAGAAAAATTCCTGCACGGCAAGCAACTGCATTTTGCAATGATAAGCACAGTAGCAATACAGATACAGGTGTTGCAAACGAAAACACATTCATGAACGGTCATGCATCACGAATATCTCCTTGAGGGCTAGGCCGCTCGAGGGGCAAACGTAGACCTGATGATTACGGTACGAGCAGCACTGCGAGGCGAGAGGAAGACCGACTGTCATCCTAGCCGGGAATTCATGAATCTCTGCATGCTCCGCTCGGGCTATCGAATTCGTGTCGTCATTTTCACTTCCTGTGTGGGCTGCTTTGGACTTCGCAGGTCCTTATATAAATAGAAGACAGCAACCCCCAGATCCCGAAGCCACCCCATGGCTCTGAATTAAGCGTTCGGTGGTTTGCATGACTTTCGGCATGGGTCTCCGGCAGGTTACAAAGAAAGAGCTGTTGCTGAAGGACTCTGAGCAGAAGGCTTGGTGCTCCGTAGGCCATCTCAGTTTCCCGGCCACTGTCGTAAACACTATGGCTATGAGCTGCTTACGTTGGAAGCTAAGAGGCTTGACAGTGTTCGCTCGAGGATGGCTATATTTGGCGAGTGCCATACGCACATGTCGCATTCCGAGCTCCTGCTTTCACGCGCTGCACAGTTTGTGCTCCTGTCCCATTGTTTATGCAGTCCCGGTGCGGCCGCGTCCACGACTCACTATGTATTCGAAAGCATTGGCCTCAGTTTAATTTCGAAATGTCCAAATCTCGCCAGCACTTTGGGAAAACCATTTTGGTCATGTCTCTGAATCCCGCCAGTACGTGCGGCGGGAGCGGGTTGGACGTGGTGCCTAACAACAACGCTCAAGAAAGGTGGTAAGCATCGTCGCAAGGGCGCCTGTAGAACGCCGAATCCCGCGAGTGCATGGGGAACGAAGTTTCCGTGATGCAATGCATATACGCTCGAAGTCCACGAGGGAAGGCGGGAAAACCGTCAGTGCATCGCGCTTTTGGTGTCCTGGCGTGGTCGTGGTAGTCCTGGTCCTGGTAGTCGTCGCGGTGGTCCTTATGGTCGTGGCTGTGCTCGTCGTGGTCATTGCTGAGTCACTGTTTGGAGATCTACACTGGGGTTTGTGTTGTATCATTCCCTGCCAAGACTGGTCATGCATTCATATGCATTCCTGCGTGCGTGATTGATCGGATTTGGATTGCCGCTCCCGCAGTATTCAGCGCCCCATGATATTAACATGTGTTTCGGGAGGCACTTGGCCCGGAGTTTCACTCTCAGACGAGTCTTAACTCGGCAAGACAACAGTCAGTGCAGTTGCGGCCTCTTGGGGATACCCTTCCGGGGCTGCTACATGGGAACTTATAGCTGAACTGGTATGATCTGTAATGAAAATCTCTCCCTGTCTCTCTCCCTCGCTGTCTCTCTGATAGAGTTTGGGGCTTATCACCGCGTCTGAAACCGAACGATTGCAACGAGTGTTCAATAGAACGCGCAAGTTCGATTCCTGTCCTTCTTTGTCTCTCAGACGTAAAAGGGTTCTACTATCGCACAGCATACGAAACCTCACGATTGCAGAATCGAGTGCGTACTAGGTGTGAGTCGAGTTCTTTACCCAGGCGTTCCTTTTTCCATAGCTCTCGTGCGACTGCAGGCATTGCCCGGGAACACAGGCTGCACGAGCCATAGGGACGTGGGGCTGGAAGGGGCAGGCTGCCAGAGCCACAATGACGCTGAGTGCAGGGATTGGGCTGCAAGCGACTGAAGAGTTTAGATCCCTACAAAAATAGAACTGGGAAGATTGTAAACACGGACCCTGAATGTCGCATGTTTCCCACCGAAAAGTTTTGTTTCGATATCAGCACATTTAGCAATCAATCGGAGTAGGGGACGATCTTCGCTGCGAGCTGGAAGATGACGGAACGATCTGCACAAAACACTGCATCCAGATGGAACGAGGTTGCAGGCTTACGCCAGTGCTGCGATTCCAACGAGTTGGTTTCAACAAGGATATGGAGGTACTGCATACTCTCCAGCGTCATCCGATGCAGAAGGCGGAGGTGATAGTGAACGACTTTCCTTTGTGTCCAAGCTTGCGCATGGTTCTGCAGCATCGTTACGCTTGCGTCCAGGGTCCAAGCCGCACCTGTTGAAATGCAAATGTCGAGCTGCGGCTCATGAGCTTCGCAGGTAAGTGATGTCACCCAAGAGCTGCAAGCCAAAGATGCTGCAGCAAAGAAGCTGGAGGAGGCACGTTTCCGGGAGTCGAGCCCACCACCGCCATTCACCAGGGGCCTGCGTCACTGTATAGATTCCAGTTGCCCAGTGAGCAGATTCCGACCTGCTTTTTCCGGCAGTCACTCTGGAAGTCGTTGTCAAGCCTTCCCCGTATCTCTGCCTCTTTGCTAGGGATGTGGTCCTAAACCACACCATGTCTCCGCAGACCATCACCGATCCCTGTAACATGCATCATGAGGAGTTGCAAGACCAGCTGGCCAGCGCGCGGCAGGCACAATGTTATGGCTGCTTTACGAGTTTATGCCTACCGTTTCAGGCAGCACTCAAGTCTGCGTGAGTGGTAGGGAAGCATGTCACCCCCATCGTCGTTGCTTCTGCCACATGGATTCTCATGCTGGTTAGGACTCTATCGTTCTCAACTTTATTGCCGCTGTCAGAAGCACATGATCTGTCTTGTTCTCGGACAATGACTGGTAAAACAAGTATAGAGTGCACATCAGACCTGCCTTTCTTGTCCGGGCGGACTCAGGAGACTTGTCCCCACGTGCTCCCCCCCATGTGCCCCGCGTGTACCCTACTTTACAACCAGAATCCCTTCTTTACAACCAGAATCCCCACTTCACAACCCACAAGCCTTTCCACAATCCGCTTCTTAACAAGCGTATTAACTGACAACGTCAAAGCCTGGAACCTCCAGCATCACCTAGAGAGCCCAGATGATCGCTGG